GCTTCCTCCCACACAGTCCAAAAACATGTTGAGGTTAATTGGTGGTTCTAAATTGTCTGTAGGTGTGAATGTGAGTGTGCTTGGTTGTCTGTCTCTAAGTGTAGCCCTGTGATAGACTGGCGACCTGTCCAGGATTAAGCAGTGTATAGACCAGTGGTTCTCAACTGGTGGGTCGCGACTCAAAAGTGGGTCACGGACCTGTTTTGGGTGGGTCGCGGACAGCTGGGCAAAAATAAATAATATATAATGTGCGTCTCAGGTTGGACTTGTTTATTAATTTTGAAAATTTTTTTTATTCTGACAGGCATGGTAACCATAGTTTGTTTGACGTTCATTTTAAGTTTGTGTTGATGTTGGGATGCAAGATGACAAAGCGCAAATTTGCTCAACATTCCTGTCAGCTGCTGATTTACCATGCTGTTGCTGTTGCTGTTGCTGTTGCGGTTGATGTGGCGGCGGTTGTAGGCGTTGTTGCTGCTGTCCGACGCCGCTAGGCCGAGTCGGTTCTTCGTTGTCAAAGTTAAGTAGGATGCTCCCGCTACCATTACCTGTTGCAACAGAGCTCCCCGACACTCCAGGCACTGAAAAGAAAAAGAGCACAGCAGAAGTGACTGATTGGGTGACTTGGCGAAACTCTACTGTGTGTATAGTGGCACCAACCACAAAAATGTGCTGCAATGTTGTAAAATTTATCTACAGTGTGAGTTGTTGTTATTGTTGTTGGTCCCTGGCTGCTGCTCTCCGGGAGAGTAGGCCATCATTCCTCCGTTCCCATTGCCGTTGGTGGACGGCACTGATGCCAGCAGGCCTGAAATCAGAATCAGAATCGGTTTTATTGCCAAGTAGGTTTTCACATACAAGGAATGTGGCGTGCAGTGACGTGTGGTCAGGGGAAAGAAATAAAAAAAATAAAAAAAATAATTTAAATGGCTATATTTATCCAGTGATGTGTTAGGGTTCTTTTTGTTTTTTCATTTAGCCTCACCAATTTTGATGATTTTGTAAAATTCAAAATTGCGGATTTCCCATTCAAATGCTTGGAAGAGAAGCCGGTGAGGCAGCAGCGAGCTCAGCCTCACTTGGCTGCCTGCAGTGACATCGTGCTGCTGTCTGGATGTCGCCTTTAACATGTTTCAAACACATTTAATATATGAACTGATTTTCCATAGTTCAGCTGATGTATATAATAATGTACAGTGTTTTGTTACCAACTGTGTGTGTGTGCAATGTGTTTCGTGTGCTGAGCGATCATAAACGGCTGAGAAGAGGTTCCTGCTGAGGCAGGCAGTTCTCTTGCCTCATGGCAGGGGGCGCTCTGATCCCAGCTGTGCTTCTTGTGACTCTGCGGCTGCAGATTAAGTGACAGCAAGCCGGACTAGGTACCATATACAGTTAGCAAGTCAAGTGCAGCGATCCATGTATTTTTTTCCCTCTCGCCCAGTCTGACCTTCAACATGGAGGACTACATTTCTAAGCTTAAACAATTTTCTAAAGTGGACTTTCAAAGTAATGAATATTTTTGTGCAGAAGAAGCAGCGCATGGACTTTATTTATAAGTAAAGATAAGACAGCAGTAAGTTGTTTTTTGTTTAAATGAAATGTGCGTTTTGTGGGCTACAGCTTGTAAAGAATGCAGATATGAAACATTACCTGTAAACTGCTGCCAATCAAATGGCAAATATGCTCCTGTGTAGAGTGCATATATCTGTAAATCTGATTATGATAAAGTCAGTGCTTCACCAGCCATGAACCTGACCGCACGTCACTGGTGGCGTGGTGTTTTGGCGCATAACAGTAAAAAAATTAAAATTCAGGGTGAAGATTATTTCAGGAATGCAAATTTATACATTCACAGGAATTTAGTCCAACATGGCGGTGGAGGCAGTGCTCTGTGTATTATAAGTAAAAGTGTAATAAAAATATTTTTCTAAAAATCAATCAATAGTTGTGATAAAGAGGTTCAGAATAATGGTGATGATCATTTTGTCAATATTCATGTAGCCCTGGTTATTGGTATGGAAACATTTTGGCTACACAAAAGATTGATGTTGACCAAAATAGGGAAAAAATAAAAAAAAATAAAGAAATTAGCTAAAAATTACGGAGCCCCTAAAGGGACATTTCGCAGGAAAAAAAAAAAAGACGTCAAGCTTATTGTGCGCACAAGATACTTATCTCGTGAGCACCACATCGGTTTCACGTGCGAACAGGATACAGGGCGATGTGGGATGCTGGGAATTTAGGCTCTTTGAAGGGAGGAAATCGCAAAAGTATTTGTAAATGTGTATGGAGAGTTGTGTGTCTGTATCTCAATCTGTGTGTGAGATTTGTCAATACGTACGAAGATCTGTAAATGCGTACAAAGATATTAAAAGTATTTGGCTACAAGTGCTGGAAATACAGATAAATCACCAGTTACAAGTCAAGCGGGCCTCATAGCTGTCTGTCTTTTGCTACACTTCTGCAATGACGGATTTGTATCTGTAACTTCAGAGTTTCTTTGCCCTGAGCTCAGGCACGCAGGCTCGTTCACTGTAGCTGTTCACCACTCTGCTGCTCTGTACCTCAGTAGTTATGCCGCCTGCAAGCCATCAGGCGGCGATATCCTCCAGAGTCGTGGGGCATGCGACATTGTCTGGTATATGTGAACAAGAAACATTTGCTATGTTTGTGGATCGCTGAGCAAAGACTTTAATGATAGCTTGCAAGAAACTTGGTGTCTTTTTTTTCTTCTCTCCGTCCCTTTGAGGGGCTCCGTAAAAAATGGCCACCAAATAATCGCGTGTTTTGATTTAGAGATGAAGAGCGTTTTTATATACGATGACATAAAAGGTCAAGTATATTTTTTATTCATCCAACAATCGTGTTTTAAGTTTGCAATGAAAGCTACAGGCCCAACAGGTAACTCGAACGGCTGAAAAGTCTAAGAAACGATCGATCTCTTACCTAGTCCTCTGTATCGGCTTAATTGCTGGTAGATCTGCTTCATCCTCTCGATGTTGAGCCGGCTGGCTTCCGCGTGGTGCACCATGGGCTTCGGGTAGTGGACGCCAATCACGCACTTGGCGGCCGCCTGCACGGACTCGGGAGCGTTCCACGGGTCGTAGATGTACTTAGCAGGAAAACCTCGGAGGACAGGTAAGTATCGTCTGGAAGCACAGGGAGACATTAGATATGCTGGCTTGTGTCAACAGGACGTGGAAGGTGAGAAAGCAAATCGGAAGTGGGAGTGATGCAGGGAGTCAAAAAGTTATTAGAAAAAAAAAAAACACATTACATTACAGTAGTAAAAACTGATGATACATTTTTCTACAACTATCTTCAACAGCTACAAATACTTTTCAGTTATTTTAGTACATAATAGTAAGCACTTGTGATGCATAAGAAATTCAGTACAACTGGTTTTCTTTGTTGTAATCTTTTCAATATTTATGCCTAAATCTGAGATACTTTCCAGCTTTTAATCAAAAGTTATATCTTGACCAGTTATTGTGTAATGTAATACATTTCATGTTTTAAATGAGCAGCCCATGTATGTGCTGTAACTGATAAGAGCATGCTGGTCTTCAGTACTTCATGCTTACAAGTATCATGGAAAAATAGTTGCTACAAAATGAAAGCTACGAACAACCACAACACTGCACGGTACATGAGAGTATGAGTACAAAATCACTGCTTTTCAAACTCTTCCATGAACGTTTGGAGATTCTGGCACTGACGGAAGTTGCCGTCACAGTGCGCGGTGACGACTGTGGTTCCAAACGTGGTAAGAAAACGAGGGGCTGTGGTCCCAAACAACATTTACTGTAAGTTGGTGTGGTCGCAGCCACACCGCAGACAAAACAAAAAAACCCAAAAACTGATCCTCCAAGAGATGAAGCCAATAAACCTCTGACAGTAACAATGTAGAGAATTCAATATCTCATTGTACCATTCCAAACCTCCTGTTTTGTTTTGTGTCCCTTTTTGGGCTGTCGTGGATTTGCTCCGTGTGACAAAGAGAGGCCACCTACCTACTGCGCTTGGTCCGACCTTACCGAGTCCGGGGAGAGGGGGGGAGACAGACAGGACGGAGGAGAGGGGGGCGAGTGGAACTGTGGGGAAGCGGCACAGTGCAGCGGAGAGA